CGCCACCAGGCCGGCCCCCGGAGGGGGTGTTTAAACTGGGCCTTGAAGGATGACTAGGGGAGGCACACAGCACGTGTGAAACTGCTTGATGCATTCAGGAAAATACAATTTGTCTTGAGTATAGCTTTCATAGAAAGTTTGGTAAGGTACGTCACAGACTAATTAAGTAAGCATGAGTGTCATAGAGGAGAGTCCTACTCATTCTGTAGGCAGTGTTAAGGAACGAGCTAAAGAAAACATAACTATAACCATATTGACACACTTAAAATTAGTAAAGGTCTGAAAAAAATTTTAAATGTGATTGCAGTGTTAAAGAAGAAATTGAATTTTAGCATTTTAGTGTTTCAGGGTTTTTTGAGTGTGCAATTCTTAATTTGCATTAGTGTTTACATTTTATAACTAAATCTTATTTTTATGAAAATTATATTAAGATGAATAGCCAACCTGAAATGAAACTTATGTACAAAATTTTTATAGTATATTTATTCACTATTTTTTCTTCTATTCTAGTTACTCTTTCTGGAAATGGAGAAAACGGTAAGGCACTTTTAGTCTCAATTTAAGTAAACTACTTATGGTATCTTAATTGTAACCCACATTTTATTTAGTGATGACTACATGTGTTTTTGTTTTCAGAAAGAAAGTATATATTTTTAAAGTTGAAATAATTAAAAGGAGATATAGCATTGGGTTTATTCCTTTACATTCAATATATTCTCATTTGCGTTATTTACATAAATTGAAGTAGTTGTTATTTTATAAGACACCCTAGTGCCCAGACTTCTTTGATATGTTTATGTACATATTTCTGCCTTATGTGTTCTTCAGAACTCTTTAGAGTAGTAGTTCAAAGATTTTTAATGTTGATTCTAGCTAGGCTTGAGGAGAGGATTTTGTTTCATCATGTCTAAATTTTGTTGATGGTTCTGTTGTTTATGCATTTGTTAAAAATAGTACTTTACCATTTACAGACGTTTAATTAAATAACCAGACTGTAAATTTGTAAATTTTAGTACTAGTTCATTTTGAAACAGAATTAAAGTTTTTAAAATGACTAGGCAAAGAGACAATGCCTAGAAGGAAAAGTTATTGCTCAAAGTTTCACCAAGATAAAAGAAAATTTTAAGTCTATTGATATCAAATTTCAGAAATAAAATTTGATTTGAGATATGAAAATCCAGAGGATTTCTAAAACAGTTGGTTAGAAATTAATGATAAATATTTATTCTTATTATTGGAAATAATTAGGCATTAAGTATGTATATCTCAGGTTACCTTTGAGTCCTAATTTCTCAGTGACAGAATAAACATACACTCATCTTGGTAGGCTTGTTTTTCTTCCTTTAAATCGAAACTGTCTCCTATATGTTGAGAGCACAGATACAGAAAGCAGAGAATTTCTGAAGTTCTTATAAAAGAACTTTTAACTTGTATCATTATTTCTTGGGGCTAGTTTCCCTATGTCTTTCAAAGAGCCTTTTGATGAAGTTTTTTGTTTGCTCATTTATTTGTTTTTTTTTAATTTAGTTACAGGTGATTTTTGAATCAGATTTTTTGATTTATGGGTTCCGTTTTTTTTCTTTCAGTTTTGACTTAATTTGCTTAGGTAACTAAGCTTTTACTCTCTATATTACTTCTAACCAGTGGTTTATAGCATATATATATGACCAGAAGTTTGCTTATTAGCAATCACGTTAATTTGGACTTCTTTAAAAGTAATATTTTCTATTATTCTTTACATTATAGTTTGATAATTACCATCTGTTGAGTACTTATATTCCAGGCTTTATGCTAAGAGATTTATTTTATCTATTTTTTTTTTAACTGAGGGTTAAGATTTTTTAAAGCAAAAACCAGGGCCGGCCCTGTGGCCTAGTGGTTAAGTTCGGTGTGCTCCGCTTCGGCAGCCCAGGTTTGGTTCCCAGGTGTGGACCTATACCGCTCATCAGCCGTGCTGTGGCAGTGACCCACATATAAAATGGAGGAAGAGTAGCAGCGGATGTCAGCTCAGGGGGAGTCTTCCTCAAGCAAAAAAATTAAATTAAGAAAAAAGGAAAAACCATTTTGTTTTTGTTCTTATGGAGAGCAAAAATATTCTAAAAATATATTAAATGTTTAAAAAAATATTTTAAGAGTATATTGTTTTACATTCTAGCCTTAGTTGTCGGTAACTAAATGATTAAGAAGTTTAAAGTACTTCAAGGTTACCATTTATTTCAAAGCTATCTAATACTATATAGATGAGGATTGACAAACTTGACTGAATATGGGGGGCCAGGCGAAAATATAAGTGAAGTGTGCTAGGTGAAGATAACATTGCAGACTCGATAAATGGCCTCAGTGTTGATGTAACAGTAGGAGACTGAGCTCCAGCATGCTTCTCCAAAGACAAATGAAGGAGTGATACTGAATCCATTGGGTAGACCATGGAGGGGGGTGAGATGATGCAGATTTTGAGAAACTAGAATTTTCCTTGAGGATGACAGTCAATTTTAGTAGAAGTGAGAAGAAAGCAAATTTGAAAAGAGAAGGAAGTTGTGGTTAGAATTTTATCTTGGCATCAGATGTTGGCTCTGAAGTGGGATGTGACCACTAAGATGATGGTTAAAGGAGTGGAGGAAAATATAATTTTAGGTATGACAGTGAAAAGAACCTTGGGTTTTTATCAGGCAAATATGGATTTGAATTCTGGCTTTATCATTTAGTAACTAGTGACATTGGGCAAGATATTAAATTCTCTAAGCCTCAGTTTTTAAATTTGTAAACTGAAAGAATATCTTAACAGGGCTATTGTGAGGGTTAGAAATAAGGTATACATTATATGCCTTCTCGCAGGCTTTCAGTAGGTGGAAGTGGTGATTTGAGTAGTCGTAGTCGATTATGGTTGCTAGAAGTCCCAGAGTTTTAGAATGCATTCATTAGTCAGGTACATGGAGTTAGTTCCTAGGCATTTCACAGCCAAGGGGGAGAGGAAACTATGAGCCACACATTTTACACTGGCCATGGAGATGGCTTAGAGGCAAGAGAGACTGGAGGCAAGGAGACCAGTTGGCTTTTGTAGTAATCAAAATGAGATAAGCAACAATTTATCAACTGTTGCACTGGCAGTGAAAAAGTGGGAAGGAGTTTACTTCGAAAGAGACTTTAGGAGCTAGAATTTGAAGTACTTTGTTCTGATTAGCTGTGCGATGTGAGGAGTCATTGAGCTGGACTTCCTGTGTAGGTCATCTGTGACTGGCCATTCTGTTCTGTTGGACCAGGCGTGGACCAGTATAATTGCAAAAGAAAATGTTGGGGGTCCAATGAGTTCTCAAATTTTTATTGATATTTTATTTAAAAAGAACACTTTTTAAAATCAAAAATATAAGGAAAAATAACCTCAAACCAAAGGAAAGACAGTACTTCGAATTGAATACGTTAGCTTTATAAGTGTTTTTATGTTATTAATGTTTCTTAATGTTTCTTGTTTCACTGCAGACCAGCGAAAACTTTTATCAGTCCTTAAACTTGGGAAACACCGAAATAGGAAATGCACAAAAAGAACCAAATTTTGAGAAGAAGAAATTAAGATGCCTGGATAGTAATAATAATAGTAGCCAGTATTTGTTGAGGGTTTATTATGTGCCGGGCACTGTTCTAAGGTGTTCTGCATGTATTAGCTCATCAGTATTAAGCAACTAACTCTAATGAAACAAGTGCTTTCATTGCAGTCTGAGCAAATTATTTGGGGAGTATAGTGTAAAGAGGTAATGAATTCTGACAGTAATGGAGAAGGCTTTTGTGGAAGAAGTAATATTTGATCTGAACTTAAGAGTAGAATTTCAGACTTCCATGCCTGTCTATACTTTGTTTTCCTCAGTGGGTTTATGGGGCTGCATTCCAAACTGAAAAAGGGTTGAAGCACCTGGTACATAGTTCTTGCTTATGGAAACCAGTCTCACTTCTTCCAAATAGAAAAACAACAGAACACAACAAAAAGCTTGAAGTTATATCAGTGAGTTAATATTTGGAGATAAAGATGTTGGAATGTTACACTAATCCTCTTGGGAAACAGTTATGGCAGAAATTCAAAGTGGCTAAAAAGTTTTCATTACCTTGTGTTGAAAAGGAGGATGAAATTGAGCATAAGTTTTCTGAACAATCCATGAATTGTTTTTCAAATGTACTCATTACTCACAGTGGTGGGAACTTACTTTATTTACTTTCAGTCTATAGTTCCTTGGATTTAATGTTTATAGTGATGGAATCTGTCTTAAGTCATTTAAAATCTAACTTTTAGGAAGAGGTTGAAATACAATGAGTGAAGGAGATGTTTCAACTTAAAAATCTTCAGTAACTTAATAAAATCAAATCTCATCTCAAGACTACAGTCTTTACTTATAAACTAGGCTGATAACCCTTAAATGCAGAAATAGAGTGTTTCTTCGTATCTGTAATTTTACATCATGCAGATAAAGGAGTTTATATAGTTCATGTTTTCAGCAAGTTTTAATTAAAGTTTTTATTCAATTAAGCCTCCCAACCCTAAATATTGTGTTTTAATGTAATGCTTTTTCCTGTTTTCACTGGGATTCAATGAAATGTTGTTTGTTTTTATTTACCAGGAAAGGCCGTTGTTTACCTTGTGGCTTTCCATCTGTTCTTTGTTATGTTTGTATGGTCCTATTGGATGACAATTTTCACACCTCCCGCTTCCCCCTCCAAAGAGGTAAATTACCAAATGCTGTAACTAATTATGGAATTATTTCCCCTGTGTTTACCTTTGTAAAAACTTGATTACACAATGCATTTGTTCTGTTTCCATTCATGAAGTTGCTTGGTAACTCTACTTTGTGACTGTGAGTCATCAGCCTATTCTCAGATACGACAAACTGGCAGAGCACAGTAGAAGACTGATGGTAGTGCTCCAGTTGAGCTGGACTGATATTTTTCTGCCATGCTATATTTTCTTTTTGTAAAAGATTTTATTTATTTATTTTTCCCCCCAAAGCCCCAGTAGATAGTTGTATGTCATAGCTGCACATCCTTCTAGTTGCTGTATGTGGGACTCAGCCTCAGGATGGACGGAGAAGTGGTGCCTCGGTGCGCGCCCGGGATCCGAACCCGGGCCACCAGCATCGGAGCGCGCGCACTTAACCACCAAGCCACGGGGCCGGCCCTGCCATGCTATATTTTCTTAAATTAAAGACATACTTTATATTATTGAAGTAAAAAATCTTAAGGGACAGAATTAAGTTAGGAAAGTAAAGTTTATTTTTAGAAACCTCTTAACATTTGTGTTTTCTCAGGCCTGAACAAATATGCTGCAACTAAAAGTGTTTTGATTATGGGAAACAAATTGTCTAGGCTATTGCTTGTTACGCCTTAATATGGCTAGTGTTTCTTCTAACTGGAAGTTCCACTTAGAAAATAATGTGAGTAAATATTTACGTGGAGTAAGTTGTAAGACTAGTCCGTCTCTCTTGCCTTGACATAGCTGGCTGAATTCCTCCTTCACCTGAAATTTAGTATAGCTCGATGGCTAAGAGTATGTTCGCTAAAGTTAGGCTTGTCTGAGTTTTATTTTCTGCCCTAACGCATTACTTCATGGCTCTGAGCCTCAGCTTTTGTTGTCAGAAAATGGAGCTAACAATAGTGCCTATCTCTGTAAGGTGTTTGTGAGGACTAAGTGAGATTCATTCACATAAAGCTGTTTCTTTTTTTTTATAATTTTATTTATTTATTTATTTTTT